TGAACTCGGTTAAGACAACTTGTTAAGGAATATTTCGGGATCCGAAAGCGAGTGTTACAGGTACTTAGGTCGATGGTGAATCACCGTGTCACAARCAAATTAAGACGTTGGAATAATTAGCATTTGAATCGGTGTCACATGTGGCATATCCTCCGGCGTTGGTCAGGTCTCAAGAGATTTTCGTTGCAAAAAGTTTATCGACAGTGCAGAGGCAATCGCTGCGTTTTAAGCCTCTTATGAAACAAAAAACCTTTCTTACTAGAGAAATGGCATCAATAAGTTATAAGATCGCTATATTCGGTGTATCGACTATCAAAAGGTTATGGAAATAAATCAACTGACTATTATGCTAGGAAATTTATTTCAAATTTTGCCTAATTAACCAATGTAAAGCCAGTCTCTATTAAATGTTTAATTGCCCTTACAACACACTTCCTGAACAACGAGGCAGAAACATTGCCAGTGGGATTCATTACAATCGGCAATGTCACCACAATTACAATAACAACAACATGTACAACCTTGAAATAAACAATATATTCTGAGCGAATTAACAACAACAAAAAAACATAACGAAATACGCCAGACATCGAAAAGCCATCAACGCCGGTTGGACGCACACACTGCACAGTCGGTTAACAATTTGCATTACATGGCATGGCATGGCACAACACAGCACGGCACTGTCAAATATTGCATTCGCTCGTTCAATTGTATTGTTGTTGCACTCGTTGTGAGTAAGTTAAGTGTCTGCCGAATTTAAAAGCGCATCCTCTTAGCAACACATTTTACCCGAATGGCATTATGTGCTTTACGCTCGTTCGGGTTTTTTGTCCTTGCCATGTTGCGCTGTCATTAAATTAAAATAAATTGGTTTAAATTGAAAATAAAGCGTTGCACAAAAATTCACTTTATGTAACTTAACATTTTACGATGCCAACGAGTTCGCGAAATGTTGATTGGCGAATTTCGTTGTGTTTGTGTGCTCACACTTGGCAGTCGCTGGGAGAATATACGTATACTTGCTCGTATTTGTAGTTAAAGGGTGAATTTTTAAGGGTATGTAAATTCTAATTCGTGATTTATTATTTCTTTACTATTTCTGTTATAATTTTTCAATTTCATATAATTTACTTAAGTGGTTACATGGGTTAACGGGTTAAAAAAAACGTTTCTTTTTATTATTTTATTAAATTCTATAACACCTTTAGAGTATCGTCCTAAATTTTCAACTTGATATGAGGCAAAGTCTCAGAGACACAGCGTTGAGAACTTGTGCGCTCAAAAGCTAAGTGCGTCGTCTTTAAGCGAGTTTTTCTCGAAACTGTGTTTTTGAAGCCGGTTGGCAAGATTTTCCT